GGAAAAAATTAAATGTGTATATCGAAACATATTGATGCCTGCCCCGACATTTGCGGCACGAGCGATATTATAGAAGGCGGTGGAGGTGGAATCGGGGACGAAACAACGTATTTTCAGCCGAGGTAGTAAGAAAATTACATTTTCTTACTACCTCGGCCGAAAATACGTATAGCTTGACCAATGCATCAAACGTAAACTTTCTGCCGTGGATAGGGGACGAAACAACGTATTTTCAGCCGAGGTAGTAAGAAAATTAAGTTTTCCACACACATAGAAATGTATATTACAGATAAACGTTACTTCTTTAAGTTAAATATATAATATGTTTCAATATACGCAATTATACAATGTATTTAATTTAAGATTATTATATTTTTAAAAAGTAAACAGTTGCTGTATTAAAATTTAACATATTATTTTAAATAAATGACTATATTTAAAACAAAAATAACTTTATTCTTATAAACTGATCGAAAAAAGTTAAGCATATTTTTGAACAAAGTTGAAATCAAACTGGATACCGACTGATACCTAAAATGCGTTTTTTCGACTTCGTTCTTTTTTGTCTAAGATTCTTTAATTTTTACGTTTTTATTACCAAATATTAAAATAAAGTATACAGGGCGTATAAAATTGTATCGTTAAATTTATGTTTTGGTCAAAATATCTTAATATGCTTAACTTTATTCGATTAGTTTATTTTATCATAAAATATATTTGAATGTAAAACTAGCATATTTTTATTTTAAATACAGTTAATTTATGATTTAAATGTAAAGTATGTTTATTTAAAACACAATTAATTTATTAAATGTTTTAGTTAAATTTAATAGGTTTTTCATTTATATATATATATATATATATATATATATATATATATATATATATATATATATGTTGGTTAAAATTAGTTTAAATAAATATAATGTTTGAAGTAAACATATCTTAGATTTGCATTAAATAATAACATTATTTATTACATAAATATTTTTTAATTAAATTTAATTTATTGAAATTAAAGGTTTAATTAATATAATTATACCTCAGGATTAAATTAAAACAATTAAATATTTGGTTTATATATGCATATATTTATAAAAAATACATTTATAATTTTTTTACATATTGCTTTTAACAAAAAATTAAACCTGCAAAATAAAAACTAAAAACTAACATGATGTAGTAAAAATAATCCTAAATTATACTTTGGTTTAATAGGAAAATTATAAAACTAAATAAAACAACATTTGAAGTCAAGGAACTTAAACACAAAAATTTGGTATCATCAAAAAAATACATTAGGTACCTACAATATGTATATATTATAAAATTATAAAAATAAATAAAACAACATTTAAAGTCAAGGAACTTAAACACAAAAATTTGGTATCATCAAAAAAATACATTAGGTGCCTATATTATGTATATATTATATACATATATACATATTATATTACATACACCGTGTCTAAAGTTACCATTACCATTGATGCCATTTTAACTCCGTTATAATTGGAACTAAAAAGTCAGTTAAATTAGCAAATTGGTGGCAATTTTTCTTCTGATTAAAATGGTAAGCACAAAAAACAATTGAACGTCGGGTTTTCGAAATATTCACAAAATTAACATTTTTTAAATATATTTCCTATAGGACACCCTGTATATTTTACTTATTTTAAGAAACAATTTAATTTGGAAAATTTGAAAAAATTATTATTACATAGGTAAACTTAAAAATGAACCATTAGTAGCACCATTTAAATCAAAAAATAATTTGACAAATTTGTTAATTTAACCGACGTTGTAGCTACAATAGTAACGGAGTTAACAATGGTGGGCAGATAACTTTGAACAGGGTATAGCCTATACAAAATAAAAACAAATGTATTATTTGGTTTTTAGGGTGACGGGGTTGAAATTGTGATGTTAAAATCATTGGATGACACATCCATCCAAATTGGACAATGCTTATCTAAAAGGAACCAAACGCCAACAACTTTTTCTGTGCTTAACAAACTTATTTGTAAAATAACTCATTTTTAATGCTGCTCATAAAGTTAACCATGACAGTTTCGAGAAAAATTCCAAATAATGAAAAACTTTTTAAGTATTATTAAAAATATATATATATGTTTATATAAAGTGACATTTTTGTGGTGAAGAAAAATTCTTTAGTAGATTCGCAGTAGGTATACCTAAATTAAAGATTTAAAGATTAAATTTTAACATGTAGGTACTTAATTATTACTTATTAATTTAAGTAAGAGGGTAAATATTGTTATACCTTCATTTGCAAGCTATACATAGGGAAAATACATTGTAGGTGGAACAGACAAGTCGAAGTCGCGCCGCCATGCGACGTAACAGGTGACCTTGTTTACTGGCGATTAAAATTTTATTACGTCCTAATAATTTCTGAGAACTTTTTCACTTTGCGCTGGCTTCGACTTGTCTGGTCCACCTACAATGTATTTTCCCTATGTATAGCTTGCAAATGAAGGTACGGTATAAAATTAAATTATCTTAAAAGAATGTACATTCTGATATACCTACCATAAATAGCAAATTAATTTAATATTTGAAATATAGGTATTTGTCATCGATGTCAGAAATATTAATCAAAATTTATGGTTTAAAAAAATAAAATGAAGATATTTGGAAGTAATGTTTTTTAGAATGGAAAGTTATAAATGCTAATTAAAAAAAGGATTAAATAATGGAATAGAAGAATGGAAGAATTAATTCAAATTAACATAGACTTAGCGGTACCAATTCTGAAGAACTGTTTTGCTAGCTATAGTGTAAAATAAATAAATAAATAAATAAATTATACAACGTCGTACAATGTGATACAAACTTGTACAGATAATTTCTAAAATATTATTTCAAATGTTTTACAGTACGTACCTACAACGCGTTTGTATAAACTATAAAGTTATACTTACTTATAAAAACATTAATAGTTTCCTCATTGCACCCCCAATCTCTTAAAATATGGGAAACATCCATTTTCTTCTAATAATTCACAATTTTAAGGTTATACGCTTATACGAGGCGGACGACACAGAGAGAAAGAACACATTTGGCGGCCCTAAACTGGTATAGCTTGGGTGGGGGTATTTACCTATTCCGATATAAAAAGATCTCCGAAATATATGTTTAATTTAAATAAAGCGAAAAGATTTAAGTTGAATAGAAATATATGCCAAAAATATATGTTTAAATCTCAATTAAGTTGATTTTTTTATTTAAAATAAAGAAAGAATATTTAAAATTATTTAAACTAAAGATATGTGATAATGATTTTTAACATTTCAATAAAGTTCCGCCTAAAATACTATATATTGTTATTAACTATAAATATATTAAAAATAAACATATTATATTTAAAACCAAGAAATATTTTAAACATTATTTAATTTTAAAACAATTTAAAAATTCTGTTTAATTTAAAAATTATATTTTTATTACAAACATAAATTTTTAAGAATAGCGTTATATTTAACTTAAATAAAGCAGTTTTATGTGTGCAGTGAGGTAGTAGAAATAGCTATTTACATACCATGGGAGGAAAATATTGCATGTCCTCCCGCGAATAGTTTGATGCCCGACGCGAAGCGAAGGGCATTAAATATTCAAGGGAGGAAATGCATTTTCCTCCTGAGGTATGTATATAGTTTTTTCTATTGCCTTAACGGTTTTAAGACATTTTAAGCGTTCCGGTTCCTTTTACTTACCCGGTATGCCATACCGGGTATGGTGCTATAAAATTATGACAAAATATTAAGTAGGTTTTGCGTCGCCGACGTTATGTTGACAACGCTTTGTTGCTATGGTATTTTTGGTAATACCAACATAACAGTTTTTATAAGCTGTCATAATGTTTATCATAAATTTAATAGTCCCAATTAATTTCCTTCCTTAAAAATCTAAAATAGTGAATATGAATATAGTTTGTTAAAAGAATGTTAAAAGAATGGTTGGACATGCGCGGAGTAAATCTTTTTCCTACAAAATCAAATAAAGCTAGACAAGGTACAAAAACTCTTGCCAATATAAAATTAAAAAAAAAAAGAGGGAGGAAATTTTTTTTCCTCCCGGTGAGGAAAAGAGGCATTTTCCTCCCTCGCTCGGGGGTGGAAAAATAAGTTTTCTAGTAAGGTAGTAGAAAAAATTGTATTTTTGGCGACTTTTCTTCTATGCCAATTTAGTCCTCACGGGCCTTTGCCCATCACTAAATAAAATATTTAAAATTGTCCCAGTACATTAAAAGGCTTATATAATATTATAATTCCTTTTAAATAGTGTGCTTTAATCAAATCCAACAAGCAGTGTTTGTTTTTTTATTCGTAATGGTGTTCTCTAAAATTCATGGATAATTTTATCGATGTATCCGAAATAATTTTAAACTATTGTAATATACAAAAAAAGCTTAAAAACAATGCAAATAACAATTAAATAATTATATCTTTTAATATTACAAATTAATTCAAACGTGGTGAGTATACACACATAAAGGAAACAACAAACCACATTGGTAACTACTTAAAAGTATAAAAAGGCTAAAAAAACGTTTGTCTACACTGTATTGTTCAAAGAGCCGTTTAAAACACTAAAAAATGAAGCTTTTTAACTTCATCTTTCTTATTTTTCTTATCATTGCCTTGACGCAATATGCAACCGTTGAAGCAAAAAGAAGAATGGTAAACTAATTTTAAAAAAATATTTAGGTTTTAGAGATAAGCATTTTATATTTTACAGGGTTGGCGTAAATTTGGAAGAGGTGCCGGTAAATTTTTAAGATACGGAGCCAATGCCGCCCAAGCATACAATTTCCTGAATGGAGGAAGCGATTACTAAGAAAATACATCCTTTTATAATTATATTATAGTTTTGTATAATAATTAATTAATTTCTTTTTTATTATGGAGTTTGTTTATCATAATAAGGTTTAGTTTAATAAATACTTAAATTTATCATAATTGTTTAACTTAACCAATCTTCTTTATGCGGTTAAAAAATGTAATAAAATGGATGTGTTTGTAAAAATGCGTTCATTTCAATAACAACTTTAACATGAAACTTTACACGATTTCTTTTAAACATATAATAATTTTAAGTTTGTTTGTTTTATTATTTAAAATAAGTGAATGTAGAACTATCCCTAAAAATTCTGAAAGTATTGATAATTTTCATAGTGATGTCATCGTGACAAAATGGCCCACTTCAAAGACTCCATTAACCATTGACCAAACTCATTCAGCTGACGAAGAAAATAAACCTGGATGGATGGTATGTTACAATTTAATACCGAGTGATTTATAATATAAGTATGCTTAATTTATATAAATTCTAACGATTACATTTCTTGTGTAAAAAATGCTTTTTAAGTGCCGCTCTTCTAATAAGGCACTTGATTTTGACGAAAATCGCTGTATGGGCTTCAAATGGGCCCAAATGGACCTGACTGCAAAAGTTTAAAAAGATAATAAAAATTGTGGATTTTATGGGGGGTATCATTTTTTGAACTTTTCAGATCAGAGGTATATAGTTTTGCTTATATCTTGAATCCTAATTGACCTAGAGTCTTATTTTAAAGAAAAAAGTCTATAATTTATAATTATTATACCTTTTTTAAATTTGTACAATTTTTCATTAAAATATATAGTTTTGAAAAATAAATATTTTAAAAACACTCCTTTTTATTTTTTTTATTGTTTTATGTGAAGAAGCAAACCTTTTTCCACACTTACCTTAATTTTGGTGGTTATACCCAGCCCTACCCAGTTCTTATTTAGTGGGCTTGGGTTTGATTCTCGGTACTAAAATATTTTTGGGTATTTTTTTCATAAAAATACTAAAGGGAAAAAATATTTAATTATTTTAATCTAACGTGTTATAAGCTTTACATTTTCGTAAATATCCTGTAACAAATAAAAAAATATGCTTTAATTAAAATATTTTCGTTGAAAAGTAGGTTCATTTTCTTGTTTGAACTCGTGCAAATTTAAGGGATTAAAACAACGTGACAAATTTGGGAATTTAGTTGGAAATCATTTCTATTTTATTCTTAGATTAAACATTTAAAAATTTAATAATAATTTTTGGTTATAAAATTAAAATAATATTTATCTACTAGTAATTTATTACTAAAAATTTTTTGTTATTTTACTGTGAAATAGTTCTTTGTTTAGATACAAAAAGTCACAATAGTTCATCAACATTTACTATTTTCTTATGATTATTTTCTATAATTTGACAAAATCCTTAAAACTAGCTTAATGATAATCCTAATAAAAGAAATTGGCTAAAGTTTTAAATTAAAGTATTGAATAGAATTACTAAAACTAAGAATGCAAATTAAACTGGCATTAATTGCCAAACTAATTAAATTCTAAGTTCAAATAAAAAAATAATTTTATCAATTACTAAATCGTTAATTTTTACTTACCGGGTAGAAAATAATTAAAAATATTTAAATGAACCTACTTTTGTTCAACGAGAATATTTTAATTAAAGCATATTTTCTTATTTTTTGCAGGTTATCTACGTAAATGTAAAACTTATAACACATTATATTAAAATAATTAAATAATTTTTCTTTTTTAAATTTAGTATTCTTAAGAAAAAAATACCCAAAAATATTTTAGTACCGAGAGTCAAACCCTAGCCTACCAAATAAGAACTAGGTAGGCGCTGGGTATAGACACCGAATATTAAAAAAAATCATGTCTCCCTCATAACCCCTACTATAATTTAGTTAAGTGTAGAAAAAGATTTGCTTCTTCACATATAAAAAAATATAAAAAATAAAAAGGGGTGTTTTTGTTATATTTAAAATTGAATTTTTTATATATATTTTGTATATATTTTAATGAAAAATTATTTAAATTTAAAAAAAAGGTATAATAATTAAAAAGTATAATCTATTTTTAAAATAAGACCCTCTAGTTCAATTAGGACCCAAGATATAAGCAAACAATATACCTCTGATCTGAAAAGTTCCAAAAATTATACCTCCCATAAAATCCACAATTTGTATTATTTTTTTAAAATTTTGCAGTCAGGTCCATTTTGGCCCATTTGAAGCCCATACAGCGACAAAATCAGAGGGGGTGAGGGTCAAAACCTGCCTAATCTGACGTGGAAACAGCCCCCTGTAAAATCTTTATTTATTGTGCGATTTTAACCGGATTTGTTTTAAAGTGTAGATCTTGATAAACTGTATTTTTAAGAGTAAATTTTCAAGAATTCATATTAGCGATTTTTTTAAACAAAATACAAGCACGGCACTGGACTCTATACTAAATTTTATTGAAAAATGCACAATAATAACTACAAAAATTTATTCTGTCAAGTTATCCATGAAAAAAACATTAAAATAAAATTAAACTTATAGTACTAATAATAACATGGTACTTACCATGTTATTATTAGTTTAATTTTATTTCAATGTTTTTTTCATGAATAACTTGACAAAATAAAATTTTGTAGTTATTATAGTGCATTTTTCTACTTCAAATTTTTCAATAAAATTTAGTATAGGGTCGTTTTAAGGGGTGGTGAATCCAGTGCCGCGCTTGTATTTTGTTTAAAAAAATCGCTAATATGAATTCTTGAAAATTTACTCTTAAAAACTGACATAATAGGCCTTGTATTTTGTAAAAATATGGCATTTTTGCACCAAAAATGCAGTTTATCAAGATCTACACTTTAAAACAAATCCGGTTAAAATCGCATAATAAATAAAGATTTTACATGGGTGAGTCGCAAACAAATGGGTCACACGTGTGACAGTACTGTATGTGAAGTCTGTCAATCTAAATTATTTTGTATTGTAACCATTGGCGTCATATTTAGGGAAGTTAACTTATACTTATTTTATTACTTTAAAACACTTTATATTCAAGGGTTAACACATTTTGAACAAACAACGATGAAAATAATTGAAACAATGTCAAAGAAGTCCCGAAAATAACGCACTAACGCGAGAACATTAAACAATAAAAAAAATAGGACAAAAAAGAAAATTTAAAACCCACTTAGTAATTAATATATTAAATTTTTTAATAATTTTAAGGAATTAAACTCGATTTTCCAATAACGTTTCAAAAATAAATAAATAAAATAAATTTGTTAACACTATGTAACAAAATTTGATTTTTGTTTTGTTTATTGGATTTTTTTGTTAAATTTTCAATATTTGTGTGCAAAAAAACTATTCTAACTTAATTTAAACAATTTAGTGATAAGTTTTTATTTTTTAAGGGGTATTTAAATAATATAATCAAACCCCGTTTTATCAAAAACCAAAAAAAAATATTGACAAGAAATGGCAAGAAATTCAACTCAGAATTATTATTTTAACAAAACATACAATCTAGAAAAATATTTTTTTAACATAGATTTTAAATCTTGGCTCAAAAATGAATTTTAATACGACTTTTTCTTTTATATGATGCATTTTCTTCCCGAAGTAGATAGTCACCCATCATTGTCGCATCCCACCTTCCTTGTTATCACTTTTCCATTGCCCGAATATCTTAATGAAATCTTTCTTCATGTTCTTCACTGACATCTCCCAGATTTTCACGGAAAAAGTCAAGATGCGAATGCAAATAGTGTAGGTACTTTCAACGACATACGGCATCCCATTTCTTTAAAACTTCCTAATAGAACTTTGACAAGGTAAGTATAATTTTCTCTTTTGTGGTTACCAAGGAAACCTTTCAATTAAAATCTCACGTTAACTTTTGAGTTTAAAAAATATGTATTAAAATCCAATTTTTGTTAAAAAAAAAATATTCATTTTTTTACATGTTGTCCACAAAAAAAGTTTAATGGCCAAAATCTTACGTGAGGGATAGTAGGGAGGTCTACCACAATCTCACCAAATCTCACCAACGGGGAGGGAGGGGTCTAAATTATCAGAAAAATGCCTCACGTAAATAATGGATGCCCCCTAATGACACTCAAAGCCATCAACACGATATGATGGCTGTCGTTGAAAATTTGACAGTTTGAAAAAACAAATGTATGTTACGTAATCGGGGCCATGGCCTACTACGATTTCTGTAATAAAATCCAGATAAACAAATATCATGTTACATAGTGTAATCTAAGATGTGGTGATTTAAAGTTTGGACTTTTAGACATAAACTTTCAGAAAATAAATCTTTCAATCATGGTAATTTTAGATAACTCCTACATTAATATTGACAAATTGTGACTTTATCACATTTTAGTCACGGGCTGAAGTTAAGACTTGTAGCTTTTGAGCATTTTAGTCACGGGTTTTATTATAAATAGCAAAAAAGTGAGGTTAAATCGTCAAATGCAAAATTTTATAAAATAAAATTGGCTTTAAATTCTTATTTCTGTTCGTCGGAGATAAAGCTCGTGCCTAATAAAATTCGTAGGTAAAACTTGATACATAATATGTATAGTATTATCTACTCCAACATTGACGAGCTGTAACTTTATGGCGTTTTAGTCACGGGCTGAAGTTAGCTTCATTATAAAATTGAGGTTAAATGCGTTGACAGTTAACAGATGTCAAATGTTTAACAAATAATATTGGCTTTAAATTTTTCTTTGTGTTCTTCGTAGATAAAATATAGTACGCAACAGGTTTCATTAATTTCTCTAGGCACTCGTTTTTATTTAACACTCGCTCGTAAGCTTCGCTCGTGCCTAATAAAATAAAATAAAAATTTTATACATTTTATACTAATATTGCCAAATTGGGCGCGCCTAACTAAGGGTTAAGTGTTCTAAACATTTTTTTCCAAATACTAAACGGGAAAACAAACAAAAAAAAATGAGTTTAAACAGTTGTTGGCACTACGCCAATTACTGCATTGACGTAGTGCCAATGACTAAATTTTTTTAAAACGAAAAATAATTAGTGGGTTTAAAGGTTTTAATTATGATCTCATAAAATATTTCAACGCCTCAGAGTGAAACCAAGAAAAAGGACATATCTTTAAGTAAAAAGGTACCTAGTATGTAAATCTTTTGCCTCATAAAACTTTTGTTTATTGTATTGTTATGGGAAGTATATACCCACCTTGTTATTTGCCGACAATGCCTAAAACAGAGGATGGTGCTAATTCCAAAAAAAAAACACTCTGAAGAAATCTACGGCCAAATCCATTCAAAAATAATTTTTCGGTAGATGATTGGTACAAGATTTTTCCCGGACTCAATCCAACATTAACGGAAAGCAAATGTTGGTCAGAGTGACATTAGAGGATGGTTTAAAAAAGTTGATCTTATCTAAAAGAAGAACACCTTTTTGAAATACTTCAGAACCCAACAAGAGTTTGCAACAGTGTTAAAACTAACATCCAATTGTGTCCAAAGACAAAAAATGTCGTTGACTTTAAAGAAACACGAAATGTGTATGAAATAGACCAAGGACAAGCTAAATCGACTATAACAGCATTATTCACATTTTCGGCAGCAGGAGAAACTACACCTCCACTGAAAATATTCCCTTATAAAAGACTGAAATATCTGCGTCGGTGCCGAAGCATGGGGGAATATGTATGTAGGAAGAATGGTTGGATAAAATAGGAATTATTTTTTAATATATAGAAAACGTTTTCTACCCGCATCGCGAGAAAAATAACGTGCAATTTCATTATTTTCGTGGATGGACATTCCACACACCTGTCCTATCAAGTCAGTCATCTATGCAAAAAGAAAAAAATTGTCTTAGTCTCACTATACCCCAATTCGACACAAATCTTGCAACATGCAGAAGTATCGGCCTTTAATCCACTTATGTAAAAATGTAGTACTAGATTGGAGAAGAAACCATCCTACAGAAGCACTGACTAAAGAAAAAGTAGCACCATTTTGGATAGTGTTTTGCCCCGAAATAATTGCGAACGGCTTTCGTGCGTGTGGCATTTATCCTTGGAGTCCTGACGCTGTTGATTATTCCAAGTGTCTGGGAAAAAAAGGCCTTTTAAAAATTTTTTTTTATCATGAGTCAATTACCAAAACTCAGACCTATAAACAATTTTATGAAATCGAAAGTTTAGATGAAGCTCCATGCAGTGACAATGACTTTATGGCACTTTAGAAAATATATATATATATATATATATAACATTTACTAACAAGAAAACAGAACAATGTTTAAACAGTGAAAAAAAACGATGTAGAATTGAACCAAAGGGATAATTTAAATGATATAACAGAAAAAGCACAAAAAGGGCAAGCTAAACTGCTCACAAATTGAAGTGGAATTTTTTAAAATAGGGTTGTGTTAAAATCGCTGTAAAATTTTCAAAAAGCATCCGATTTTGAAACAGCTTTTACTTATTTAAAGAAAAGTGTTCCTATTTTCATAAACTGATAAAATCATTTAAGTCATAACATATATATGTCTAATATAGGGTGATAAAAAAAGTCCTACAATTTTGTTCTTTTTAACTCTAGTGCAGGAGTTTTTTTAATCACCCTGTACACTTACACTAAGTTGCATCTTACAACCTGTGGTATGTGTTACCAATATTTTTTTAGTTTTTTCCTTTTAATGACGTACGTACAAAAATATGATTTTATTTATTAATGGCGTAATTTTTCATTTGCATTTAATGAACACAAATTTTAACAACATAAGTTTATATTTATTGTAAGTTATACTTTTGATATAAAGTCGACAGTTTAGTACCTAGTAGGCCCTCCTCGAGCTCTCATCACTGCTGCAACTCGTCTAGGCATACTATCTATTAGGTTATTAATTAAAAGTTGTGGTATATCTTGCCATTCTTCTACAACAGCATTTGCAAGCTGCTCCAAATTTAAAAAATCCTTATTACGATCGAGTAATCTTTTTTTAAATGAGACCAAACATGCTTTATTGGATTGCAATCAGGCGATCTTGCAGGCCAGGCCATTCGTATGATGTTGTTATCCAATATCGCTTGATTCACAATCCTAGCCCTATGGGGACGAGCATTATCATCCACAAAAACATAATTTCTGCCATGTTGTTCAATGAATGGTGCGACGATAGGTTGGATAATCCGATCTCTATACCGTTCACCGTTCATCGTAGAGTTGATGAACACTACAAGGTCAGTGCGACTGTCATGCGAAATACCACCCCAGACCATTACTGATCCGCCATTGAAAGGTTCCTGCGGAGCCATGTTTCTTTCTTGACAACGAGCTCCAGGCTCCCTCCAGACGAGAATACGTCCATCTGACTTATACATACCGATCCTGCTTTCATCTGTAAAATGACAGCATCTCCACTGTTCAATTGTCCATCCGGAATGCTCGCGAGCCCATGTCCTTCGGGCTACACGATGAGCCACGTTCAACATGGGGCATTTGAAACGTCTTCGGGCACGTAGTTGCCTATCGTGAAGTCTGTTTCGGATCGTTTGTGTCGAAACTTCAAGTCCTGTAGCATGTCGAAGCTTTCTTGCGCAAAATGTAGGATTGGCTCTTGCCCGTCTAACAAGAAGACGATCTTCCGCTGCTGAAGTTATTCTTGAGCGACCTCCACCATGTGTAATTCGGGCACTACCTGTTGCCAGGAGCCGTTGACTTGCCCTATTAATAACACTCGGTGACACATTGAGCAAATTTGCAATTGCTTTCTGCCTCGTACCATTTTGTAAAAGATTTGCCACAATATCAAACTGCTCTGGAGTTAATCTTTGTAACGGCATTATGCTTTTTGATTGTTTATAAGCAACTGTTAACTTGACAAGGATTAGTTTGTAACCTACGTACTTGATATCTGCCTGTTTTTAAAGCACCCTAGGTAAAAATTAGAAAAACGTAAATGAAAAATTACGCCATTAATAAAAAAAATCATATTTTTGTACTTACGTCATTAAAAGGAAAAAACTAAAAAAATATTGGTAACACATACCACAGGTTGTAAGATGCAACTTGGTGTAAGTGTACAGGGTGATTAAAAAAACTCCTGCACTAGAGTTAAAAAGAACAAAATTGTAGGACTTTTTTTATCACCCTATATTAGACATATATATGTTATGACTTAAATGATTTTATCAGTTTATGAAAATAGGAACACTTTTCTTTAAATAAGTAAAAGCTGTTTCAAAATCGGATGCTTTTTGAAAATTTTACAGCGATTTTAACACAACCCTATTTTAAAAAATTCCACTTCAATTTGTGAGCAGTTTATTTAAGATGTGTCATATGCAGCTGCAAATATAGGCCATAAAGAAATCAGCGTAAATATTCTCTATACTGAATCAACAAATACAATCAAAATTCCACAAGATTATATTGAAAACCTTGAATTTAAAAGACCTTCCTATTGTTTTTTACCCTTCGCCAAATTGTGGCCACAATGGCCTTCAAAATACATTCTCAGACATATCAAATATGTATTTGGTAGAAATAAACAAATATATGGGGAATTCCACGTGAATTCGACAAGAAAAAAACCCTTGCCATTTAGAAATTCATCGGCAATTTTTCCTGACTCAAAATAAAACTTTAATTTTAATTTTAGCAAGGTTTATCAATTGTTTTTGGAGATATGAATTTTTAAATTTTCATGATTATAACGATTTTGCCAATATATCAATATATTCCGAAGAACGACCCATCATTTTTCTTGTCTTGAAACAATATTTGAAATAAATATTTTTGAAGCTGTGGCGTATCGGCACATTATGATTTTTTTCTTCGAAAATTAAAAATCCATTTTTTACACTGTTTGTTTTTTTTTTTAATTTTAATTTTTGTTTGTTTTTAATCTTTAAGCGACTACAAGTTTTTTATCTATATTAGATCGTGGCTATCGAAAAATTAATATTTTTTTCGGAATTTTTTATTTTAATATTTTTTATTTTTTTCACTTTCGGACATTTCGTAATATTAAAAATGATTTTTTTCATTTAACCTTTTTAAAAAAATATTATTATTAATAATTATTTTAAGATTGAAAATCAATTAATTTTACTATATGTATATTCATAGGCCCTACTCTTTAATTTTTTTAAACAATTTTAATAGTTAAAAGTGATTTCTAATGTAACTTTTCCGTTTAGTTCCACCTGCTAACGAAGAAAACAAACCGAATGGTCTTAACGAAGAGACCGATAAGTTATAAGTTTTGATAATTCCGAGGATGTCGATTTTTTGTAAAATAAACCTATTTTTTTGGACCCCATGCTTTATTTGCACTTTAAAGACATCTAAAATCTCAGCAGGCATTAAATGCACACGATGCATAAGAAAGCCTTTTAATATGCGTCTAATAGTGAAGCTTTATGTCTGCAAGGCTTGTTGTAAAACCAAGTGATAGGTAGTGGTTATTGACGACCTTAATTTATTTTGTAAAGTTTATTTTTTAAATATTTCATCAGCATTCTTAAGTTTTAACACATATTTTTTTAAGAATACTGTTACAGTACCTACTTTTTTTTTATTATTGTTTGACATAAGTACTAAACCCATTAATGCCAACAATACTACAAATGGTGCCAATTACTATAGGTCCAAGTGATTTTCATTTTATTTATTTATATAAAGAAAATGGCTTAAAATATAAAATTTTGCTAGTTTAGTAAGATTTCTCAAACATATATGTTATAATGTCCACAGAACTACAAATTGAATGCAATAAAAATCAATACCTCTTAAAGTGCCAATAACTGTGGTGTTTACCCAATTCTTTTATTTTAAATATTTAACACCCTATATCCCAAAACGGTGACCCATAAGAAAAAGTTTGATTTGGGGCTTCTGCATTATTTCGCACCAGGAATGTACCCTATTCTTTATGTGGTGTTATTTCAGGAGACTTAATAATTATACATATAAATAAAATACTTTTACCTAGTATATTATTTTTAATTTATATTTATTCATTCTTATCATATGATTAGAAATATGTATTACTCCTATTATTTTATCATTTTTATAAAAAAAAAAAATATTATGGTTTTTTTTGTGTATTTTTAGCGTCAACAACTAATGAAGTTTGGTAATATGGCGAGTCGAGTTGGCAACGCGATGGGATCTCATGCCACCAAAATCACGGCTGCTGTGGACAAAGTATGCGAAATTGTTAAAACTATCATTCCGCTATTGGCTGCAGTTTGTCACGTGGGACAATTTAAATTTTGTGCTGCCACTAGTGGAAGCGAAATTTCCGATGCACTTAATCCCAGTTCTCTTGATTTAAACATTCCAGACTGAGATTGAATTTTTATATTTTTAAATTTGTTTATAATATTATATTATTAATTACGGGTATTTGTTAAGCGTTTATCAGCTAAAACCATGTAATCACTTGCAATCTAATTAAAACTCAATTTGGTGTATACCTAGTGTAAGTTTATTGTAATATACAAGATTAAATAAATGTTTGAAAAAATGTAATAGTGGATTCCTTAGAAAAAATAATGTTATGACCTAAGGGTTGTCATTTTCCAGTTAAGAGTTAAAAAATACAAAATATTAGTTTTTGTTTAATAGCTTTTGAACACTAAAAGATCGGTAAATAAAAATATGGTAAGCTACTGAAACAAATGTTTTTATATATTATTATTTATTTTTATAAAGGGTGTTAACGAAAATTTATCAGGTGCTAGAGCTTCGAAATATATTTAAAACATGTTAGGCGAGAACATAGTTGTACTAGTGCCATGTTAAAGGTTTCAGATGATCTTTTGGAAGCCTATTATACTGGAAATATCTCATATCTAGTATTATTACAAAGGCCTTTGATACTATTAACCACAATTTACTATTATCTATTTTACATTTTGTAGGTTTGGATATTAAAGCATGTACCATGCGTAATGGCATAACTGAACAATAATTGTTTAGTCCCCATCTCCATCCTCATCTGCTCAGTAAAGAATAATGTCTAGCTAGTCCAGTGTGTTAAAGAAGTATCTTGCCATTCAGATAATTTCAGGACAGAACTTATAGGATATACCTCTCCAGGACGTCTGTAGGCTTTTTTTGAATGGCCAGGCAGTTGTGGCCGGCACTCGGCCGACACTCGGCCGACACTCGGCCGAGTAAACATAGCCGACATTCGGCCAGGCGGATATGCCCGACAGTTGGCCAGGCGGACATGCCCGTTGTACAAGCCGGAATAAATACGTATGTCGGGCCGCACGCGGCCGATTCGGCAAAACGTATTCAAGCCGTATGCGGGCCGGCTAGCTTTGGCTTACTGGGTGATTACTATTGATATATTTTTTCAAGGGAATAGAACTATGAAATATTTCAAATAGCTTGATATACAACATATCACACATTTCGTCAACAGTATTGAATAGTTTTAAATTCGACCAATCAATTTTTAATAATAAATCATAAAGGAGGGGAAAATTAGCTTTTTTAAAATTATAAGGGGCATTTGGAGTATTGTAATTGAAATTTAAATTAGTGCATGCAAAATTTACACTTAAGTGTAAAGGAGGGTGATAAGGATCCACATTTACTTCACGATCAGGTTTACATTTGCTATTTGAGAGGATAAGTGTGTGTGTGTCTACCATGATACCATAATGGTGTATGTTTGGCTGATAAGATCTAAAAGCCTATTTTATTGATTTTTAATATTATTATACTGCAGAAAGCCCAATAGTTCAGTAAAATTATTTAATGCTTGGAACTTACTATCCCTATCAACATGAGATAAATTAGGTACATTTAAATCCCCCTTTTTTTTCTTTTCTTTGGCCGGCGGAGAAATTCTTTACGAACACTCGGTTCCTCTTGGGGCCCCGAGTAGTGTAGGACTCCGTCTATTGACGTATACCCACTAAAACTCCCCCGTTCGGTGGCAATCCTATTGTGCCCTAAATGGTATTACTTCCATAGCTCTAGCTCCGTTGCTTCTATGAAGCGAAGTAGCCGAGGCAGTGGGAACATTTTTAAAAGTTCTGGTGTGAGTTTAGACTCTCCCAGGTGTGTTCTTCTTAAGGTGTTGAATCCCTCACATTGACACATAATGTGAAGAGGTGTTTCCTCTTCTTCTTCGCATCCTCTACACAAGGGGTCATCTGTCATCCCCATTTTGTGAAGATGTTTTTTGAATGGAGCATGGCCTATGAGAAGGCCTAATGCTTTCTTTAGTTGGGTCCTGGTATATGTCCTCATTGGTTTCTGCCCTTCAGCAGATGGATTTTCCAAAAGTGCTTTCGAATGCTCCAGACCAGACAGGCTTTCCCAGTATTGTTTGTGTTGTAGTTCTGTCCAGTCAATTAGTTTTTTCCTGGACGATTCTTGGCTGGTGCCGCATGTGGGTTCCGGCCCCATCAGCAGGGTTTCGGCTTCATCAGCTGCGAAGTTTGGCTTCCACCTCCTCGAACTGTTTCTGTCTTCTTCTTGCACAAGGATAAGAGTTATCTGGTTTTGTGCTTCGGTTAATGCCGTCATATCTCTCAGACATTCTAGTACGGCCTTCGAATTGATTTCAAATGCCTCCAGTGCCTGGATTGGTTCTGGTTCGTGTGTAATGATGGTGAGCAACTTCTCCGTGGGATTGCTCTCCCTCATTCGTTGGAAACCCAATTGTATGGCAATGATGCCCGCTTGAAGATCGGTTATCTCTTTTCCCAGGTTTAGTATTTCTTGACTGCCCTGTTGAGATACCTCTTTTATGCCCTCAGAAACACCGGTCTTTGACTGTTTGTGTTCGTCGTAACAGATTAGATTTTCTTCTTGCCTGAGTCGGGCAATTTGGTTGTTTATCTCCTCAGCCTTTATCCTTTTTGAGATAAAAGCTTTATTGAAGTGTTTGACCTTGGCTTTGTCTGTTCTAATGGCTAGACTGCCAGTATTTTCTAGCTCTTCAAATATGGCATTATGTCTGATGTTGGAAATAACTTCGGCCTTATTTGAGATTAGTCTTTGGGCTCCCGCTAACGCTTTAGCTTTAATCTGAATGTGTAGAGGGGGAATCCTAGTATGTTTTCCATGGCTGCGGTCGGTGTAGTTGTCATTGCACCAGTTATTCCCAAGCAGTCTTTGGATTTTGCTGAGTATCTGTTTTACAGTCCTTGTTTTTGTTGCGTGCCACCATATTAGCGCCGCGTAGGTGATTATGGGTCTGACCACAGCTGTGTACACCCATTGTACCATGCCTGGTGACAATCCCCTACAATGACAGTATTTTCATGTAAACATTTGAAACTGGATAATAAGTTGTGGAATATATATGACAATAAAAGTACATGATAAACTTGAGGTTATGTCAACCTTACAACCAACAATATCAACACAATTTACAGATTCTATTAATAAATCAAAATTAATACTTTTTACAGAATAATCATTTCTAACTGCACTAAAACACCACTTTCTTTAAACAATGAAGCAAATCAAAATTTCTATCACAGCGAAACACTAAATAAGAATTTCGAAAAAACTTAAACATCACTAGGTCCTTAACTAAGTTTCAGTTAAGCTGATAACTCCAAACAGACTTATAACACTTATAAGTCTACATAAAATGCAGACCACCATAATAAACATATAAATACTTCATATTAATACTGTGTAATAATATAATAGTTATGTTACAATTGAATCGGTGAGATTAAGAACGGTACAAGTCCTAAATTTAAAATGTTTACAATATATTTTACAACATTATTTTTTTACTTAAAAATACATTTTTTTGAGAATATTTTTACTATTTTATAAAATATAATCACCATATCTTACAATAAAATAGTTAAAAAAATCTAACAAAAATTAATTTTGAACTATAAAAATAATTTTAAATTTGGACTTGTACTGTTCTTAATTTTACCGATTCAATTATAATAACAATTATTAGAAGTATAAAGTAACGGCTCTTACAGGCTAGGATGTAAAAAACTTCATCTGATTAATCTAAATTATTTTAAAGCCTAGGAGATATTAAATACTTTGGTAGTGAGCGTTGCCAATAAAAAAGCTTAAATTATAGGACGCCTAAACGTAAAAAATATTATACAATTGAAAAAAAATCAGTCAATAGAAACAGGAATCGACTGATTTGTACAAGTCGAGACACCTGTTATAGTACAAGGTTATCAAGCCAAATATTTTTTATAACTCGGTGTGTAAATTCGTTGGTGTAGGATAATAATTAAAAAACAACTTTCTTTCTCGAAAAATTGCCGAGGCGTCATTTCGTAACGTTTTAAACCTTTTTTTAATTTCTTTTAGAAGCCATTTTCCTTATGACTATTTTTGGTCATCCTGTAAATTAAATTTAATGATATGTGTAGACTACACAGTGTAGTTTTTTTTAACAATGAATTACTAATTTAAAAATTGTGCAAAATATAGCAACTTTTAGTAAGCCAATCAAAGAGCGCCATTTCCATGGTGGTTTGTTGACAAAATTTTACCCAAATTTACTGGAAATGTTGTCTAAATGGATAACAAACCGTTTATTGACAGTAAATTTAAAAAATTGTTAAAATTAAGGTTGGCAAGGCAACAGGTAATAATATGTTTGTGTCCCGTGGGTTAACCTATAGGCTATAGCCCTATAGTATAGGATGAGGCCGCCGCGGAACCATGGCTGGTGGGACTGACTTAAGGTGACCAACTCTCCTGAAAGAAAAACCAGAACTCTAATAAAAAATCTGTATTTTTTATAAAATAATTACATGTATTTCTATTAACATAATATTATTACAAATTAAGATTTTTTAAAACTATATTTTTCTTGGGAGTGAATTTTTTTATTAGTAGGTACTTCATTTTTTTAAAGCATGTTTAATAGAAATTAGCTTTAACAATTAATAATGATTTTAGTGTTTCAATATGCAATTGTGATTTGTCTATTGTCCAAAAGTTGTTTAAATTGGAAAAAACTTTCTCTACATGACTATTTGTTCAAGATAAACACAACAATATGGGTAATTCTTTTGCATTTCTGCATTAAAGATGCATTTTTCTCTTTGCAGAGGCATATCATTTAGAGTTTGAAATATAAAAAACAATAGATATTACAATATTTAACCACAATAAAACGCGCAGACGTCAGGGACATGCGCAATACTATAATAGTTCCGAACTATTAGTTCGTTTGGGGAGAGCCAAGTGCGAACGCCAACGGAAGGAAATAAAAGAAGCCAGCGGTGTAAATAACGCTCGTGCGGGATGAAGGCTCCATCGCAGACCAGCTCGTATACCGTAAACAAATCTTGGTACAACGACACCCATAGGATCATCCCCGGAACACCGCGGGGTACATATTATAGGGGGCACAGGGGGCTAGGTATAACTGACCTA